ACATAGTTTAAGAAATTGGTAGAGGTGGACCACCACGACATCTTTTACTTTTCTCACATCCAGGTCTGTATGGATTCACTGGTTGTTCGGGTGGGTATTTACCATGAGGACATCGTGGATTATCGTATCCAATGCTTGGATACCCTATTTCTTTTCCAACAGTCATGTTCACGTTGCTCATAAACACACATGCTATGATTATTGTCACGAGCATAAACCTATTTATTCCTTTCAAAATGCTCATGATTTATGTCTTTTTCTTTGTGAAAAAATTGTGTATAAAATTTGTGTGTCAAATAGCTAACAGTGTTTGTGTTTTTTAAAAAATCACTTCTTGATATTTATAGTGAATATGTCCATACACTTGGGTAAATAGCAATGGCCGTGACAGTTGTTGTTTAGTATGAAAGGAAGTTAGGGGAATTTAATTGGTCTCAATCTTTAGATGCATTGTGTCATGAAATTATTAGTTAGTCTATTAGAAAAAATATGATGCTGCTTTGTTTTTATTTTTTTTTACTTCAAAAGAGATTACAATATGACTAGGTATTGACAGGTAGAAATATAACTATTTTAATTTGTATAGACTGTCCAATTAGTTATGCATTATCGTGGTAATACTGATACGTTATACAAATATACAACACTTCTATATGTATAATAGATAGGTGTCATATTTCTCCAATACATGGAAGTCAAAAACAAAATACTTTTTTTTTATTTTTCTAAAACATAAATACCTTTGGATTAAAGTTGAACCTAGGTACCGAATGTGGTAAAAAAGAGTTGGAACTTGGAATCCACCGATGTGTTCATCAAAACGTTGTTACATTTTTTTAATAGTTGAATAACGGAAGTACACATTTATAGTTGAAAAAATCAGTTGTGACAAAAAAAAATAGTTGAAAAAATCAGTAACAATTTGCACTATAACAAATAACAAGCATACCTCAAATATGACAAATAAAACATAATTAGTCGTACGCGACTTTTATAATCATATACTGTACGCGACTTTTAGTTGTTAATTAGTCTGGCCAGTTAGGATCGTTGTTGTAAAATATCGTATATTCACTTAAATCTACATTTGAACATGTAGTCTAAGCCCAAAGCATTAAAACTAGGAACATGATTATATATCATTTAAAACATTTCGATAAACGGAGTCTAGGAACCAGAGCTTTAAGACTTCAAGAATTTTGAAACAAAACATAAAACCAAGCAATTATCTTCATAATCTAGCCCAGAGCACAACCCTTGGTTGTTTCTCTCATTTCTTCATACTTACATGAAGCTGTTTTTAAGTATGTATTTCTTCGTGTATGTTCTTAGCTCTCAAATGTTGTTTCCTCTCGGCTCTTTATTTTATTTTATTTTTGGTATGAGCTGAGAACATACATGACGAGACCTACAGTTTTATGCCTTCGCATACGTGTCAAAGACTAATTTCAGATTTAAAAAAAATGTAAATCGAATGTGAGTAAAAAGAAAAAAGTAAATAAAAAATTGTTATAACCTTAGCAATGGACATGTATATATGGAGACTATAAGTGAATTAGAAAAAGCAAAGTAAACCATAGTTTTATTCATTGATTGATGTCTTGCAAGAATTATAAACTTATAATTTGTAGATTTACAATCCTTTGCTAGATATTTTTCGATGAATTTGGTGGTGGATCACCGCGACGACATCTTGTCACTTTCACATCCTCGTCTGTACGGATTCACCGTTTGCATGATTTGTGGACACTTAGTAACATGAGGATCACAAGGAAAGCGTTCCACTCTGTTTCCGAATGTCATGTCGATGCTGCTCATCAACACACAAACAATAAATATTGCCACGAGCATAAACCTACTTGTGTTCTTCAAATTGCTCATGGTTTGTGTATAAAATGTATTCATGGATATAATATAGCTTATAGTGTTTGTGTTTTTAAAACATTAATTTCAATTAGTAGTATTTATAATGTAAAGTTTATGAAGGATTATTCATAGAAACTAATGTTTAGAGTAAGTATTAAAGATGTGATACTTTGGTTGAATAACATGAGAAGAATTCCTTTTGTGTATTTGCCTAATAAAATTATTGGCTGGTCAATTCAAATAACTTCCTTTGTCTTTATTTTTTTTACTTAAAGAAGATTACTATAAGATGTGAGATTGACCGTTTGACAAAAAAAAAATGTGAGATTGACCAAGGTAATATAACTATATTTTTAATACATTATAACTAATTTTCTTGTCGCGTTTCAACTATGAATGAAAAAAAATTATTAGTCAAAATTTGTGTAATAGGGAAATCTAAAAAAAACCTTCTAATTTTATTATTGGAAACAAAACCCAAAAAGAATTCTATATACTATACCTTCAATTAAAAAAAAAAATCTTCAATTATGAAAAGAATTTCAAACTAAGTTTTCCGTCAAAAAATGCCACTGGCTCCCATCATAGAATACGTGACTTGGCTTTTCGGTATTGGGCTTGAAGCAAATGTAAAGCATTATTGCTGATTATTGTTTTGTTTTTTTTTGCAGCCCAACATAATTATAGTGGAATCAGGAATGTACGCATTCCAAAACTTCACAAATCCCCCTCTCCATAGTGTTACACAAAATGGGAATCATGTCTAGAAGAGTAAATTTGTGGAATAAGGAATTTACGCATTCAAAATTTTAAGTTTTTAATCTGTCAAATGGGTGGATTTCTTCTTCAATTAGAGATTTAACTAGTTTATCACTCTTCGTTTAGTACAAAAAATCTACAAAAATTACATCATACATAATTTAATGTCGTCATCTACCATTTACTATAAAACCATATATTGTTTGATCGGAACAATGTTCGCCTTCCACCATAAAAAATCATTCCACAAGTCGAAACACCATCATCCTTTGGTAAGAAGATGATTCCAATGTCTTCTAATGGTGGGATTTTAATTTTGCCAATCTATTAAAATGGTGAAGAAATCTTTTAAGCAAGACAAATAGCATGTTTCTGTTTTACTCACTGGCTCGGCTCTCTGGAAAGGTCACCTTGTAGCTCACTTTCACGGGACCACTCCGCCAGAGTCTAAAGTGTGGTCGGACCTAAACCCAATCTGGGGAAGTCAGGGAAAGATCACAGTTAGAAGGCTCTCTAATGGTACTTGCTTAATCTTCATTCCGTCGGAAGCAACACATGCTCAGAAGGCTTCGACAGTGCTGAGTCAAGCTATCACGGTGGCATTTATTTATGCATCATGGCTCGCAGAGATCTTTGGTCTGCAATACAAGACAAGTATTATCAGAAACTCGCCTTGGTTATTACTAGGAGACTTTAACCAAATACTAAGCCTTGACGAACACTTCTCCATCTCTTTACAGGGTATACAAGAGTTTCAGAACTGCCTTGAAGCTAGTAATTTGTTTGATCTGGTCAGTCATGGAGCCTTATACACTTGGTCTAATCGCAATCCGGAAAACCCGATAGTAAGAAAGCTTGACAGGGCAATTGCCCTAACGCCTCGGCTATCTTTGATCCCCCTGGAACTTCAGATCAGTATCTTTGTCTGGTACTGTGGAAAGGAGGAAAACTCCGTTTCGGTTCTTCACCTTTCTACCGTCTCATCCGGAATTCCAGTCTCAGGCTTGGAATCAAGTTACCTCTGGCCTTTCGGCTCTAAATGCTCTATGTTTAAAGCCGTGTGTTGTAGAGAATTGAACAGGAGAAGCTTTAGCAATATACAGCTCCGAACAAAGGAAGCTTTTGAGTCACTAAAGAGAATCCAAGAGGAGCTTTTAGCAAATCCAAATCAACGTTTATTTGAAGAGGAAAGGGATTCTAGAGAAGCTTGGGATGTGTTAGCTAAAGCCGAAGAGTTGTTCTTCAAACAGAAATCAGGGATCAGATGGCTTATGGAAGGTGATGCTAACACTTCATTCTTCCACAAAGCAGTTCAAATTCACCAGAACCAGAATGCAATCAGGTATCTTAGGACTGAAATGGGTGAAAGAATCTCTAATCCGGCTCAAATCAAGGACATGATCATCAATTACTACAAGGCTTTACTTGGCACTCGAGGTATCGCCCTACTCAGTGACCTACTTAAAGAGATAGATTCACAAAACATTCTTAGCTATGCCAAAAGGAAAAGCTCCGGGGCCCGATGGATTCACTGCAGAATTCTTCACTTCTTCTTGGAGTTTGGTTGGTCCTGATCTGGTTGAGGCAGTTAACCAAATCAATGCTACGGCTATCTCTCTACTTCCGAAAACTACAGGCGCTGATAAAC